GGAAAGATGTAGTTTACAGGTGACCAGGCAGAAATGCTGATTTTTATTACCTCGCCATTAGTGAATCATGAGCAATGGCATTTACTGTCTTTCTAAGGCATCATAAGACCTGCTGGGTAACTGATGACTTTGTCCGGTTTCATGCAGCGCAGACTTTGATAACTCTAGGGGAAAATATAAGCATTAGAACAAATAAAGTGCTCTTCTGCCTTTTGTGTGTGTGTGTGTGTGTGTCTGTAATAGAAAACAGGGCTTGAAGAAGCCTGGTCCATTTCTCGGCATTGTACATATCTGAGTGTATCTGCTTCTCTCTGTCAAGATTGAAGGCAAGCAGAGGAAACAGAAAGCCTCATGGCAAGTCAGACCTATGGACCATTGGGGGTTTGTTAGCTTTCTAGGTTTATGGATGATCTCTTACAGTGTTTGTGACACCATTGAAGTCTACTGGGTAAATGCACAATCTTTCAAGACTTTAAAAGACTTGCAGAATTTTGTTCTTTGGCTTCTGTAAAAAGTGTATTAAACTGCTTTCCATCTGTGGTCCCTTCATTGCTCCCATTACCGTAGCCATCTGGAAGCTTGAAGGTCATGAATATATTTATGATACCCCCCACAACTGGAACAGGCTGCCCAGGGCAGTGGTTGAGTCACCGTCCCTGGAGGCATTTAAAAGACATGTCAACGTGATGCTTAGGGACATGGTTTAGTGCTGGAGTTGGCAGTGTTAGGCTTACGGTTGGACCTGATGATCTTAAGGGTCTTTTCCAACTGAAATGAATGTATTAAAACTTTAAAAGATACTATCATCCCCATTTATAGGGGTGGGGATCTAAGCCTTATTTACACTGTCAGCTAAGCACAGCTCTAACCTAAGCTTGTCCATCATGCTTTACAGGCAAGCGTGCACTCAGGTAATGTCCTTGTTTGAGGGACAGAGTCAGAATCTTTAGCAAGTACGCATGCTTCAAGCACACCCACCGGGGCACCCACACTCTTGCTCAGGCCATTGGAACAGAGAGGGACCAAACAAACCAGTCCACCAGCAAATATGTCTAGCTGAATACACAGCATGTGGTTTTTTCAACTGAGTGACAGCCAGCAGTGTGGATATAAAGCCCGTGGAGCTCAGTATAAGAAATCCTCTGTCAAGCCTGCACTTAACCTCACTTGTAGATGATCTGTGATCGTTTGTTCCAGGTGTTAAAGGAAGTTGGAGCATAAGAAGTCTGGTGTAGACTTTTAACACCAAACCATTTGTCCCTTCAGCCTTCTGCTCTTGGTATCTAAATTCTGTAACAACCCTCTTTCCTACTTAGTGTTCTTTCTTTGATTTCACTGAGGTCAAGAGCAAATCTGCTGTGCAGAATCCTGAGATACTTAATTTGGAAATAGTTGCTGTGGTTGTCTGAAAAGATACAAGGAGCTTAGAATAAACTGAAGCAATTTTGAAGTTCAGAAAAGCATATGAGCTTCTGTGTGGGCTTTCAGTATGGAGGAGGGTTGGGGCTGCAGGCAAGAGCAGGCTGTGGACCAGACCCTGGCCTGATGTGGAGGTAACTGATCAGGACGTGGATAAACTATGGGACATGACAGGAGAAATTGCTGGATGTGACAATGTGAGAAGCTGACACAAATTTCA